ACGTTGGAGAGTTTTTCAACTATAGCTGGTGGGAATTTATTGGTGTGAATAAAGGAATGCTTCAAGTGGTTAATTTCTTTATTTATGTAGTCCGTTGAACAAAATCCTGTGGCTGTGTTTATGAGGCTTAATTCTCTAGAATTGTAACACCTGTGTTCATACAAGTGAACTTATTCTACATGTGTCAAACTTCTGTTTTTACTTCCTTCATTCTATGTGCCTGCACATTTGTTTGCTAGAATTCAGCCCAGTTAACGTTTATTTGTATTTTACTGGTACCAGTACTTACCAGTTTAAAATTATTTTAATTTCATGTATTCTCTTTAACTTTGTGTCATATTTTTAAGACATAGAGTATCCATTTTCATATTTTTCGCTGTTGTATTTTAGTTTAGCTCAACAATATCATTTCATTAATGATAACATTATCCATTCAAGACATATTTTTGTTAATTTAGACCAGGTTATGTTGCAGTTGAAGATTCAATGTTTATAAGCCACTGTATTATAAGTTTAGACCACATGAAGATTCACCTCCCATAATGTATTACACAATAACTTTATTATGATTGGGTAATTTATCGTTGTTTTTTGGTGTGCTTTTTTACATTTTAAACTTATCTATACACCATACTTCTGATACAATTGTTAGATTCATAACAATATCACATATCTGATACTATTCTTTGGTTTATTTAATATAAGGTTAGTATATCTCTCATAAAATTAAAAGGTTCATAACAACTAGGGTATGTTTCGGATACCAATAACTAATTGATAACATTGACAGTCAACTTGTAAAACCATTGTTTAGTCCATAACGATGAATGCACACTGATACCATTATCTAGTTAATAATTATGACAACTCACTTCAGATAACTTAACATGATTCACAATGATATTTCTAAGAACCCATAAATAAAAGCAAAGGAGAATATGTATATCACACTACATTTGCCATATCCAGTGCTGACAAGGCTTTTCACCTAATACAAAGGCTCATCAGGCCAGCTGGGATATAATATGATGCCATTAAGTGGCTCATAACAACAATAGTTCATTTCGTTGGCTCATAATAACAACATCAACATTATATGATAGCATAACCTGGTTCATAACAAGATTTTGGTTCTGGCATCATTTCTTGGTTCATAATAATGACATAATATGATACACTAATAGATATATAACAATTACAACTCACTTTTGACAACATAACCTAGTATGTAACAGTGACTGTGTTTCTCTAAGTACCTATGCTAACACTTACTTAAGAATCTGCATCATTGTTTCTTTTCTGTTTGCTCCTTGGAATGGTAAAGCACCCGTTAACATTTCAAACTGTAACAGAATTTCATCACAGCTTTAATCTTTAAATATGAAATTTGTTGAATTTAGTAACTATTTGAATATTTCCTGCAGTAAAAAACATTTTAAAATCATAATAAATTAAACATCATAAATACATAAATAGCAGAAAATCAAACAGCTAACTTATGATATTGCTTCACTTCTCAAATCAACAGAATTTACACACTTCTTGTAACCTCAAGAACATGCAATAAAACTCCTATGCAATGTAATGTTTTTTCTGAAGGTTATTGTCATAAATAAAAGCCACATAGGAATTGTCCAGCAATAGTTATTACTAATATTTTACCATATTTCCTTACATTATTATATCTATCTACTGACCATTAATACTCCAAATGACCACCAATCAGCTGCTGTTGTGTGGCCTTTACGATTGATAACCTCAGGAGCCATGTATTCCACTGTTCCACAAAATGAATAAGCTTTCTGGTCATTCAAGGCTTCTTTACTCAAGCCAAAATCAGTCAGACTAATATGGCCATCTGAATCCAGGAGAATACTAAAGGAACAAGAATATATCAGACAAAATGAAAAAGTTTCTCCATGAAGCTGAAGATATATTTTCTAGTCTAACTGTGCTACCATAAGTATATTTATACATGACCAGGAATGGGTAAAATGTCTTTGGTTTTAAATATATTTTTAATTCTAAATGTTTACATAAATACTATATATAAATAATAGCTTATTTAGTTTGATTTTTTTAAATTTGATAGTTGAGTTTAAAACTTTGTTTGCCAATGAAAGGAATGATAAGAACTAATGGATATTTTGAAACAGTGTGTGCTTTTTTGGTAAATTCTATTCTGTTTGTTAAAAATCTTTGTGTGAGAGAGTGTAAGAAATTAAGGGGATAACCATTACTTTGTAATATGTCATGAATTTTTGATATTTCTGAGTGAAGACATGAATAGTCAGAACAGATATTAGCTCTGTTTAGAAGATTTAGAACAAGGTTATATTTGAGGGAGTCTGGTATGAAACTGTCGAAACAAGTGTATAAGCCAGTAACTGTTTTTTTTATGGTAAATAGATGTGGCAAAGAGGTTGTTTATTTTGTTTATCTGAATGTTTAAAAAGGCTAAGTTGTTGTTTTCTTCCATAGCACATGTAAAGTTTAGACACGGATGTTGAGTTTAAATATTATAAATACTTCTTGGTGTGATCAGTGTTGTGAAAGAGTAGAAAAGTATCAACAGTTTACCTTCTATTTAATACTGGTTTGTAATAAAGGTGGCAATTATTCAGCCATTGACATCCATAACAACATAGAAAAATATTTCTAAACTTCTGATTGAATAGAAAAACTCACTCAATGCTAATGTTGTTTTTCTGTAGTTCGAATATTATGAACTCACTTTTTTTCAGATATTAATGCTGATGATGGAATTTAAGAAAATTCTCAAACATCCATATTAAAGATGTTTTTTGGTATTACCGTGTTTTTAATATTTAGTGTAGTAAATATAATTACATGTGCATTATTAAGCTCTTGTACTAAAGATATGTGTCAATAATTGAACTTTATTAAAAGCAGGTATAATTATTTTACAGAAGTTACATAACAGCACTATGTCTGCAAGCTTTAGTTTTACTTCCTATAATTTTGAAAATAATATCTCAATTATATAAAATGAAAATAATTATGAAAGTTTATAGGATTGTTTTATAAACTATTTTCATTCTGATTTGTTTGTTTTTTCAATCATAATGACAGAAAATGATGCTTACTTCTCTGGCTTAAGGTCCCTGTATATTATGCCTAAAGAGTGAAGGTGATCTAATGCTATAGCCAATTCTGCTAAATAAAATTTCACATCTTCTTCTGTAAACATTACCTGAAATTTTAAATATGTTTATATTAAAAGAGGCAATTAAAACAATACTTATCAAACAGCTTTCTAGCAAAGAATGTCTAAAATAAACTGTACCAGTTGCATTACGTTTAACAAAATAAGTCACTTAATCTTTGTTTCCGTCCCAATTGAAGAAAACTGTTATAGAAAATAAAAGGAATCAGGCATTATGTCATGAAAGTTCTCGCAAATTTTAAATAGTTTATATATATTCATTACTGCAGTGATCTCAGTTATGAGAATTCAAACCAAAAATCAACTAAAGACAAGAAAATGACAGTGAAAATTATAAAAAGTAATTTGATGTGAAACATTACTCAATAACTACCACAAATTATATAACATCACACTTTCCATCTATGTTACAGTTTGTTAGTTAAACTTAATTTTATTCTTCATTAAATCTCTTGTTTACTAAATCTATCAACTATGTCTCGATCTTTTTTATGTTGACTAGAACCACACACCATTTTGTTGAGTTTTTTTTTTCACAACACCACATTTTTTGATAACTTCTGTTTTTCAATGAAGATACATAGGTACAACCTGGCAGTACATCTTCAATCAATGCTAAAATTCTTGGGGTTATAGAAACTGTTATATAGTAGTATGAATATGAATCAACAGTCGTTCTTGCAACTATAAATCACCACTTGGCTTAATCTTGTACACAACACATTCCACCTTTATGAATACCTTATGCACATAGCTGAATATATTATCAATGAATATGAATTTCAAAACAACTTTCTTATAAAAAAAATATTAAGTAAGTACATACAAGAACAATTTCTAACATTATATGATTTCTCCACACATAGTTTAATTATATCAAATGACTAAGCATTATTAGTATCCATTCAAAATCTCAAGTTTGTACATAAAAAAACATCCAATCAACTTAAACCTTAGAAAATTCCTCCCCCACTCTTTTTTCCATAATACTTTACTTATTGAATGAGTAACAATAAAAGTCCAACATTGTTTCCTACCTCCTTACTTGTTGGAGAAATCAGAATAAATGGAAACAAGACTCTAACAGAACATTTCTAACTATATTTTAAAAGAAAAGTCCAAAAGGTTGAGCACTACTGAAATTTCCTTACTTTAACAATCACAAGAATTCCAATATTTTTGACTTTTTTTCATATTTGAGTAGATAAGAAAACATCCAATATTTCTCTTAGGTTTTTACTTACTTGTACAAAGCTGAAGTAAAAAACAAAAAGTCTAACATACACTTCATGTTTTATTGAGCATGTTCAGTAGTTTATAAAAAGTCATTACAATATTAAATGTATTGCAGACAAAATCCCAAAAATCATCCACCACTACCTTTCTTTCCTTGCTTAAATTACTAAATGAAACAGTGGGAATCTACCACTTTCACTATCCCCTTACTTATTGAATAAATCACTACAAATCCACCTACTTTCACTACAACATTGCTAACTTAATAATTCACTAAGAGTCCACCATTTTCACTACTCCTTACTTACTGAATAAATCACTACAAATCCACCTACTTTCACTACAACATTGCTAACTGAATAAATCACTAAGAGTCCATCACTTTCACTACTCCTTACTTACTGAATAAATCACTACAAATCCACCTACTTTCACTACAACATTGCTAACTAAATAAATCACTAAGAGTCCATCACTTTCACTACTCCTTACTTACTGAATAAATCACTACAAATCCACCTACTTTCACTGCAACATTGCTAACTAAATAAATCACTAAGAGTCCATCACTTTCACTACTCCTTACTAACTGAATAAATCACTAGGAGACCAACACTTTCTCTCCTTCCTTAATTACAGAATAAATCACTAAGAGTCCATCACTTTCACTACTCCTTACTAACTGAATAAATCACTAGGAGTCCAACACTTTCACCACCTCCTTACTTAATGAATAATTCACTAGAAGCCCATTACTGTCACTACCTCCTTACTTACTAATTTTCACCACCTCCTTACTTAATGAATAATTCACAAGGTGTCAACTACTTTCACTATCTCCTTATTTACTGAATAATTCACTAGAAGCCCATTACTGTCACTACCTCCTTACTTACTAAGTAGATCAATGGGAGTCCACCACTTTCACCACCTCCTTACTTAATGAATAATTCACAAGAAGTCAACCACTTTCATCATCTCCTTATTTACTGAATAATTCACTAGAAGCCCATTACTGTCACTACCTCCTTACTTACTAAGTAGATCAATGGGAGTCCACCACTTTCACCACCTCCTTACTTAATGAATAATTCACTAGAAGCCCATTACTGTCACTACCTCCTTACTTACTAAGTAGATCAATGGGAGTCCACCACTTTCACCACCTCCTTAGTTACTGAATAAACCAAAAAAAATTTTCCTTTAACTTATTACTAGTTGAAAAAATTCCCTAAACATTCAAAATTTAGAATAGATCACAAAATTTCACCTTTTATCTTGTTTTCTTGCTTATTGAATTATAAAAAGTCCATAACTTTCAATTATCCTCTCCAATAACATAAAGAACAAATTAATAAAATTTAAACATTTTCACCTACCTCTTTACTTAACCTTGTAAACAAATCACCACCTCTGAGAAAGTCTAAAATCAAGTAAAGTTTTCCTTCTGTCTGGAATGCTACAAAGAAAAACATATTTATAGATATAATTCCCCTTTTTTTCTGTTTATAACCTTTTGAGTTTTTATTAGACATGTGGTCTGTAAATACATTGAGTTTCTTAGATACCATATATAAAGTAAGCTGCTACCTCACACACTTCTGGTCACAAAACTTGTAAAGCTAAAAACAAGCTCATTACATAACATTTCTTCATATCTGAAAGATCTCTAATTTAGTCCTAATTTTTCACAGAATGTTTGTTTTTCTTACCTTTTACCGGGTATATAAAACATTACTGCAAACAAGCCCTTTGAGGAAAACTGTGCTTCTACGGAAGCTGTTGAACTTACGTTAAAACTATTTTGTCAGTTAAACAGTACCTACCTAAGTGCTTGAAAAACTACTAATAAAGGTAAAATTTCATTTGATTAACATTAGACTAAGTTGTTATTTTACACAACCTGTAGATAATAAACATCTAACCCTCTCAGAATATAATACACAAAGAAAAACATAAACTGTATTTTTTATGATATCATTAAAAATGAACAAGGTAAATTTATTCTGATATTGTGAACTTAAAAGTAAAAACACTTGTTTTAAAAAATTATTTTTAATTTTCAGAGAAATCATTTCACACATCACACACAGAATTAAGCTTCAACACTCTCGAAGTTCAAAGCCAATGCATTATCAATTATATTTAAATGTATCATAGTTAAAAATTGACTCTGTTAGAAAGTGGAAATATACTCAAATGCCTCCATTATGAAAAGGTATGGTTATAAATCAGTTATTGGAAGGTTTTTATAATATATAGAGGACAAACTTATATTAATTATTTTCTTTGTTGAAGAAACTTTTGTTTTACCATAATGAAGTTTAACTATAAACGGGTGTCGCACATCAGCAAGAATGTCTCGCTCCATCTTGGTTCTCATCCGATCTCTCACTGAAAGTATAAAAATTATTTTTTTAAATAAAATTTGTATTTTGTATATTACCTATTCTTTCTTTTCACAACAATTTTTTTACTCTGCACATATTTCCTTTTCTTTTCAATGCTTTTGACAAGTCATTGGTACATTTTCTAAGTTTGACTTGCATGAGTTATAACAATTCTCAAAGCATCAGTTTAAAAGCAAAGAGAAGTTTTTACATTAACCAGCTAAAACTGTATAGGTACTGTATTAGTATATTTTCCTAACTCATGGTTTCTATAAAACAAATATTCAACTGACCCCTAAAAAAAGAAAATTAACTTTGTACTTCTGAAAATGCTTAGGCTATTGGGTTTCTTGTTTGCTTTGCTAAAATGTAAAATGTATTTGAAAACTTTGGCATATTTATACTAATAATGCACAAACTAGTAACGTGTTCATACCAAAGGAAAGATGAACATGTGCAAACTTCATCTACTCAAAAAGGAAACACAAAAAAGCAATATACATCACTTATACAAAAAATTCCAACATAATTAACCATATGCTAATCAAGAAAGGTATAAAATAATATACCAGCTTTCTTTATCTTTCTCAAATTAATAAAGTGGAATAGGAAAGAAAAACAATACTAGCTATAACCCTACCTTTCAAGGTTGCTTTTTTTAAAACTTTCATAGCATACAATGTTCCTGTATCTGGACCAGCTATCTTTTTCACCAGAAACACCTAGTGATTTAAAAATAATAATAATAAACAAAGCTTTTCTTGAAAGATGTAAATTAAAAATCTGTACAGTAAAAAGAAAAAAAAAGTTTCCTAGAGCATAATGTGTACTACTTTTTCTTGAACTATCTGTACAACAAGAAATTAGTTGTTTGGTTTCACCAAAAAGGCTGTCATTGATTGACTTGTATTCATGTATATGTTCCCATTACATTACACTTTTATCCAGACCTTTTCAGAAGGCAAACTGGGGCTCTTCTAATAGCTAAGGATCACTATTTTTTTCAATTTAAAATTAATTTTTCTCTCAAATCTTATCATACCAGGATGTACTCTAATATTTTTCCTTTTAATAAAACAAAAACAAAAAAACATTGTTATTTAAATAAAAAGAACTTCTAAATAAATTTGTTTCTAATATTCAAAATAAATTTATTTGCATATTTACTAATCTGCTTAAAATTTTGGATAAAGCTCCACTATATAAATACATATACTAGTTTGCCCCTGAAAAAGAAACACCCACCTTTCAAAAGTGCTCAGGTTATAGGGTTTTTATTCATTTCTATCAAGACTTCTTGAACCTACGTATTTTTCTAGCATCATGAATGCATATACTAAACACATCTAAATTATACACATGCAAGTTCTTTCTTATTCCAATCTTCAAAAAACATTAGATGTATATAACACTAATGAAAAATATGGCTCTGAACAGTCTAATCTTGTGACTACCAGAAAATGCTGAATATTCCAAAGAAAATATCATAAAGGAAATAAATACTATGATTGTTATTTGGTTTACTCTGATTCTACTTTGCCTAACTTGCTGTATTACTTGAAAGGTTTTACTGTGAGTATTGAAGTTTGGAGACAGGAATGAGTAACAAAGAAATTTTATTAGAAATTTAATACAGTAGCAAATGTACAATGTAGAAATGTAATAGTTTCTTCATTACACATTCAAGCTATCTCCAAACTTCATCAGTAACAAAGTAGATTCCATGGCATCATATATGAATTAATATGAGTATGATCACCGTACTATGTTATTATAGGTACAACTGACAAAATCATAAGAAGTCTTTCACAGACTAGAATACACTTCTTAATTCCATTATCAAAAAAGGAAAATATAATATCTAATATTAAATGTTTCTGTTGTATTACAAAATCTGCAGGAATGTAATTTTCATTATCATGTTTATATGTTTCCCTTACTTACAAGACAAACTGACATGATAAAGACGTTCCTGCAAAATTGAAAAACAAATCTATTATTATTCATCTTTGAAAACACTTGTATTTCAAAAGTAAAAAAAAATAATTCTAAACACAAACTAAGCAACACAAATATTAAAGAAAAAAGCAAACCTTTCCAAATGATCCCTGACCTAACACCTTTAGGAGTTTAAATTGCCCAGGATCACCTTTTGGATGACCCTCTTTTGTTATACTGGTCAGTTCAATCTCCCGTACTCCTTCCATTGTTTCTTCTACATCCATTACATGGTCTTCCTGAAATGACAGAGAAGCGTTAAATTTTGATCATAAATGGAAATGATCAAAATTTCCAATGCTGTCTTACCTTTTTATGTATCAAAGTGATAGCAGTTTTAGTCTACAAGTAAAATTAATAAGTAATTTACAGTAGTTTCTGTTTGATGCTTATAAAAAGAAATCCCCAATAACAGAGTAATATAGAATGATGTTTTAAGCTTCATCTTATTATCATATTTCAAAAAAGAAGTTTCAATACTAAATTAATATCAGTGCCACAAAGCACACTAACATATGCAAAGGAAGAGCCATAACGAGTCAAACTCACCATTACAATTTGCTAACATTTTTCAAAGTAAGTTTCATTACTTTATTAAGCTCACCCCCACAAAGCTAACTTATTCCAAAGAAAAGTTTCACTGATGCACTAAAATCCCCGTCACAAAACAAACACATTCCAAGAAAAGTTTCAATGCTGAACTGAAATTCCCACCACAAGAAAAATGACATACGACAAAGAAATTAAGTTTTAAATTACAGTACTAAAGACTGCATTTAACCCAATAATCATGATGTATCTGATTTCCCTGCTTTTTTAAGAATATTATTGCAGTGAAACCTCTGTGAAATTAGGCTATTAAAGTGTTGTTGCATTTCTCTTGTGTAGCTTTCCATAGGCCAGCTAGTGATTTGGGTCTACAACTTCCAAGCACTACTAAAGGAAAAATAAAGTCCATTGGGACTGCATTAGAAGATTTAATATTTGTGTTCTGAAAGGATTATTTTTCTGATTTCAAGTTCTTCAGCCACTTTTCTCGTGAAAACGGCTGCTGATTTTGAAACATGGCTGGAAAGTTATGAATTTCTGGTATGCAATACTTTGCAAATTTAAGATGTAATGTATTACCTTGTTACAGTACTTAGGGATGTAGCCACTCCATTGCTGTGGGTTTTTGGATTGAATGGCTCTTATTTCACAGCCACAACCTTCACTACATAAATAAGGGCATTGGTCCTAACTGGCCTGGGGTATGGTTTCAGAGCTCACTGCTGTCTTAAACAACCCATTGTGCAAGTTCTTCTATTTCCATGCAGAACATTGAAGACATCTTTCTTTATCATGTTGTATCCTTTGGCTATACCTCATATAAATACCTTGACGTATGAATATCTATTTTCAGAATGAGCAGTTACATAACAATTCAGTTGAAGACATTTTACAATACGGTTTGTTTTTATATGTAGGGCAGATGCATATCACACAACTTTGGTTCTAGAATCCTCCAGAACCACTGTAAAAAGAGTTAATTTCCATATATATTCCATTAATATAATGAACCTGTAGAGTGTGAATTAAAACAACCCATCCAGCTTAGAATGTAACCACTAGTGTTACACAGTTTATATTCAATAACATACAACATACAACTTAGAATGTAAACATACCAGGCTTTATGTCCAGTACAGGATTTTTAATCTAAACACATGTTGGTCCTACAGTTTAAGACTTTCAAACCTCCTTTTACTAATTTATATATTATACAGGTTATCAATTAACAAACACATACCAACAGAAAAATGACAAATGTCTTCACTGTGATATGCATAATCAACAAGAATGCATATTTCCTGATTTCTGTGAGGAAAGGAACAGGATGTATCGATTCTAGGAATCTACATTTCCTCCATGAAAAAAGCAAAACCTTTACTGAGTTTTGATCACCTGATTACTGATTTCATCATCTTTTACAATACATGTTCATTATAAACACATGGTAAAATATGTGTATATGAACTAATTAAATCAAAACTGAGTGAATCTGCACTATTTCTAGAAATTCTTAGTTTGCTGTCAACACACAATGACAAGTTTTATTATTTGTACATGTAGTATTATTTTCCATACTAATTAAAGAATAAAAAAAAAATTACTTGATAATTAATGAAATACTAGACATTGCACTTACTAGAAACACATTTACTACCAAATATTCAAGTATATATTAAGTTCACACATGTGCATATAACAAGCATAGAAACAACACAAAATTACAAGGCCAAACCTACTTAAATATGACTGTGACTGTTGCTTCCAAATCCAAATATGCAAGTACAGAAAAAAGAACTGCATATACTAGATCAGGTGCACTTACAATGACTGTGACTGATTGCTTCCAAATACTAATATACAAGTAAACAAAAAGAACAATGTACACTACAGAAAATAGACTTAAAATGATTCTGATTGGTTGCTTCCAAATATACACACAACAACATACTACCACACATTTATTTATATTGATTCTGATTGGTTGCTTCCAGTTGAACATGTGTACAAAAAACACAGAATTATGACAACAAATATGCTATATAAATCTATCAGACACATTTATCACTGCTATTAAAAACAACATTTCCTGTGTTGTTTTAATAACATAGCCATTACGATATTTATTGAATCTAGCAAATACTTTGGCAATTTTCAAAATAAAGTGCTAAAGATTACTGAAATAATTACATGCATTCTCAGTGAGTGTTCAAAACTGAACCAACATACAGAAAAATGTAGCAAGCAACAATTATACACATGCTAAAAAAGCTTACTTGAGAAAGGGCATCACTTGGTACATCTACCGTCATGCCATCAGCATTACGTGCCTGTAATAACAAATAACCTATCTGTAGAATTTAAACCAGACAGAAAGCAACATTTCTTTCTTACTGAAGTAAATCCTCATCACTTTATTACTGGGAGTAATCCATGGTTTTCTGTTGTAAAAAATCAAACCATGGTTATCCAAAAATTGTTGTCAAAAATTCAAATTTTTTCATAACATTAACCGATATAAATCTTATACCAAATTAGATATGGAATTTTGCTGGCTACATATGCTTGTAAAAACCAACTTTTATTTTTGATCTCCAGTTTTATATTTTGGTTTAAACAAATCTACACAGTAGCATAATATATTTAGCTCCAAATCTGTTCCTTTTATTTAATTATTTATTAGCCCAGCTTATTAAAGTCTGTTACTTATTGTTGTTGGTAACCATTTCATCTCTATCAAAATGTATATACAGTCTACATATTACATGCTTACCAAAAATGTAAATTTTGGCAGTATATTATTACCAACAGTTAAGTTTAATACAAGAGTATATTTACATTTTATACCCCGTCAAGTAAACAATTCAACAATGAGGTCAAATGCCTTTGTAGATAATTTGCCTAGGCAAGACCAGTTCAGAAAATTTTTAGGCAGAAAAGTTTGCTATGATGGGATATTATAAAACTTTACTGAAACGTATTCAATTACGTATCTAAGATAAATTTAACTGCGAAAATGCCAAACAAACTAAATCCTACCCACAAAGTGATGGAATTATACACAATTACATATGTGACTTTATAATTTTAGTTTTACTGTAGCCCCAATTCTCTAAATAATGTTTAGGTGCAGACTTAAGCTTAGAATTGAAACATATTACAAATTTATTGTATGCAAACAACTCATGTTTACTTCCACAAGACACTATACACCATAATAAAAAGTTACAGTTTTCTTATAACATGGATATCATAGTCCCTAGCATAAAGAAAGTTATATAAGCTTCACTAATTATGTCAACAAAATAAAAATCTATGCTTAAAAAATTTAACAAAAATAAAGGATTATTAGCATATGGAACAATTTAGGCATAAAATGTAAATTTTTAGCTTAAAATGGAATTAAATATTTACCTCAAGTTAGATAGGCAGTTAATCCATCAAATGATTGTGAACTAGATTTTCTACCTATTTCTTCTGCAACACTATGAGATCACCCAAAGAAGTTTTACACAGTTCATGAGAAACTCCCTTCACATGTATTTACATGCAGAGTAGGTTTCCTAATGCAGGTGTCAGATACAAAGATTACTCTTTCAGAAACATAAAAATGAGGGAAGGAAGGGTGGAAATTTGTTTATTTAGAGTTAAGCACTCTGATTGAAAAATTAAATTTTAATGGCAAAATGTATATTTCAAGCACAGAGCTTAAACTCGGATGGATGTGTAATTATGGTCCCTACAATGAGGCACATCATAAATTCTAAAGCAACATTCGGTCAAAAGAACTATCCAAATAAATATATAATGTTTACTTGTAGCTCAAGGTGTTTCAAACACCTCAGGAAGGAAATGGTAAAATCTATGTCGTGGAAAAGAAACCTTGAAGAGCACAAGTTAAGCTTTAAAAATTTGATAAACCCATTCATACATTAAGCCAGATGGAAAGCAACTAAATCCTTTATGTAAGAATGTTCATGAGAAAAGTTGAGAATCATCCAAAAAGTTACCTCATTTCCTTTGTTTTGTAACTGGGTGTATTCCAAACCAGGCTATGAAAGTATTGACAAGAACTCCCAGGTGGATAAAGTACAAAGTAGGGCCAAGGTAAGACATAGCCAATAACTCTACTCAATAGTAAGAATAGGTATCAACCAATTAATCATAAGGCCATTTTTTGACTCTGCAATAATCCACCAGTTAATCCCTGCAGAAGTTGCAATCTGAGAAAATACAGAAAAGTCAAGAAACTAACAAACATACTATAATGTTGATGACACAAAGTGCCAATGCATGACCAACAGGAAGAGCTCAGAGCCAATATACCATGGCACAAAAAACAAAATTGAGAAACTACTGTGAGTCAGCAAGTAAACTGTTTGTCTTCAATACTGAGATTTGGAAGGAAAGAGAGTATGACAATTCCTGGATACCTTCTATTATAAAGATAAATCAAAGAGTTCTATAACAAGGAAGACAGGAGTCTGTAAAGCTTTGAATCATATACAAAGAGAAAGTCTGTAAGAAAAGATCCGAACCTCACACAAGTTGTAAAATGATTCAATCTTCCCCTAATACTAATTTATTAGGAAAGAGGTTTAGGACCAGTGAAAGCAGCAGGTTCTCGAGGTTCTAGAAAATTGGTTTTACTTACATGTCCAAAAATTCAAACCTAAGGAGAAAAAAGGCC